CGAAATAATTTGGGGGAACTGGCTTGATACCAGGAAGGGAGACTTTGTCCTGGGTCTTTGGAGAGTACAGAATTTTGAGTAGCTTTTATCAATTTTTAAAAGGAAGTGAATGCCGTTGAGGGATGGCTTTGCCTGTCTTTTGCGGTGAGGCTGTGGGGTCGGGCTCCTGTTCCCCGCGCACCCTGGGCTTCCTGAAGCCAGCCACCTTTCCCTCCTGAAGGCAGGTAGGCAGGAAAAGCTGCTACAGCAGTGCGCACCCCTCCTGCTCTGGGGCCTGCCTGCTGCTTGCTACAGAGCTAAAAAGCCTATGAAATTTCTCTGTCACCCAGCAGTTCACTTGCACCCCACCCACACCAATTAAAGGACTAAAGGACTGGGGACAATTGTTAATAGAGATTGAGGGTGTGATATATTCTAGGCTCTGTATGTTTAATCTTCTAGCCCTTCGAGGCAGGTCCTCCGGAGGCACAGAAAGAATCAGTGACTGGCTGGCGGTCAAGGAGTAGATGGCTGGGCAGAGATGGGGACTGGAGCTTGGGGTAGGGATTGGTAACCAGGCGCTACTGAGCCCCTCTTCTCTCCCCACATTTGAGACACTGAGCTTGAATCTTACCACAAGGTAATGTGAACTGGAGAAATCAAAGAAAACGGCCAGAACAGAATCAAAATGGCTAAAAGCCAGGACCGCTCAGACTGGGGACTCAAAGACACCATCATCAGGCTACTAACCAAGGAAGACCATTTCCATATTAAGATAGACCCAGAAAAGCAGTACCCACAGCAAAAGGTTTTTACTATAGGAATTACCAATACTGCGGCTTCTTCGGCAATTATTTTGGGCACACCTGGCTAGCCACTGTGGGAGGTGGACAAAGGGACAGGCTGTATCCTCAGGGAGCTTGAAATCTAGCTGGGCAGATAGCACTGAAGAAGTAACTCCACATGGCTACATGGGGGTCACAGGCAGACCAAAAGGGGCTCAGGAATTGAAAGTCAGTTTGTTGCAAGTAACTTCATGGAGGGAGTTGTCTTTCATTACAGGTCACCATTCAGCCAGCACTTAGCATCATTGGGAAACAGTCTACATTTATCACCACTTAATTCCCATCTGCCCTGAGAAATAGGTCTTCCAATTTTGTACATGGGCAAATTGGGCTCAGAGATGTTTTTCTCTTACCCAAGGTCACACAGGACACAGCCAGGAGAATCCTACTCAAGAGGAGCAGGATTCCATGCTTAGCCCTCACTGCTGTGCTAACACGCATTCCCCAAATGCCTTACTCAGCAAGGCCCCATGCTGGGGATGAGGGCGAAGACCACGGTCTGGAGAGGGCGACAGGCACGTGGACCCACAATCATGAGTATGTGTCCTGCATGCCTGAGAGATGTCTGCCTTCAGAGAGACTGGCTACTGCTTTATAGAGAGGAGAGGGTGAGGCTCCTCTGATTCAGTGCCTTCTGGTTCTCAGCTGTGTGGAAGTGGAGCAAGGAGGAAGGTAAACCCTCTGTCCTCAGAGCTAGACAGGTGTGGGTTTGCAGCCCAGCCAGCCACTTACTAACTGTAATTGTGGGCAAGTTATGACCTCTCAATGCCTCAGCTTCCTCCCCTGTAAAATGGGAGATAGTTGTGTGCACCTTTGGGATTGAATATTGTTAAGTCTGTAAAGTCCCCAGTGCCACCCAGGAGGTACTAGGTAATAGGTACTAGGTACTAGGTACTAGGTTCAGAGGTTTGTGTGATATTGTGGGCGGGGCAGTTCTCAGGTAAACCCTGGGATAGGGGGAAACAGGGAGGGGGTTGGGGATGAGAGGCTGTGAAAGGAGAAGAATCTTCCTAACCTTTGTTCCTACCTTTTATTCAGGGACAAGGGCAGTCTAGCACGATGGTTCTCAATCAGGGGTGACACTTGGCAATGTAGTTTGGCTTATCACAGTGGGGTGGGTGCTACTGGCATGTAATGGGTAGAGGTCAGGGATTCTGTTAAACATCCTGTAATGCACAACAAAGCATGATCCAGCCCAAAATACCACTGGTGCTGAGGTGGAGAGATCCCCATCCAGTAACCTAGAAAGACCCTTGGTGTGAGGAATTCCAGAGATGCAGATTCGAGGCCTGGCTTCACCACTCATAAGCAAACCTTCTTGGTCATGTCACGCTCATCTCCAGCCTCTATTTTCTCATCTAGAAAATGGGCACAATGAGACCTTCCTCTTTCTCCCCTAAATAAAGGAGACATATAGTCATTATTCCTATCCTTACCCTCCCCTAGCTAGGTCTAACTCCAGCCCATTCCCTCCAACCTGAAAAACTAGAAAGTTCCTGATAGGAAGGGTGCAGAGAGAAGACTTGGGTAGCATAGCTGGCAGGGTTGGTATTTGTTTCGGCTCTGTTAGAGACACTAAGTGAATGCTTGTAAATTATAAGGTGCAGTTTATAAATAAAGATATAAAAATGGAAATGCAGATGACTTTGGTTTGATTCCAAGATCTTCAGTAGTTTAAAAAAAAACTTCATAGACAATCGGAGAGACACAATCTGTTTCCAGGAAATAGCAAGAGTTTTTCGAAATGTAAAAATCCTTGCTCAGCTGTCCACTTACTCAAGCTGCATCCCCGTGTCAGGAGCACACATTCCTATGGGGATGAAATGGCACAGGCTGGAGTGGCGTGTGGAGGCAACTCAAAGCATTGCTCAGTCATTCATCTCTCATTCAATCACCTGTGATTCAGTCAATATTGATTGAGAGCCTACTAGGTGCTAAGTTGAACGGATGTCGGCATCAAGTGGAGGAAATGTCAAGAATGCTTCCTCCCAGGTTTTAGCCGGAGCCAGTGGGTAGATGGAGGCGCCGTGTCTTGAGATGAAAAAGCCTAGAAGAGGAGAGGGTTTGGCTGGGAGAGAGATATCAAGGGTTTGATATTGGAGATGTTGACTCTGAAATGTCCATGAGCCACCCATGTGCTGATGCCAGGTTGGCAGCTAGATGACCAGTGGGGATGGGAAGGAGGAACTGTGGGACGTTGGATGGGAAAACTTCAGACCCTACATGAAACCTTGATTCTCCCTGAGTAAGCCTTCAATATAATGTTGGTTGATTGAATGAATGAGGGAATGAACGAATGATATTTTGTACATACAGACATTAAAGAGAAAATAGCTATCAGGTGCAATCAGAAAACAGGAAAAACAGAAATCTTAGAGAAGAGTGTGGATCTAAGAATACTGCAGTTTGGTGTTCTATTTTTAAACCAAACATAATCTTCAAGTTCTAAAGCAAACTGTAAATCTTGTAAGACTCTCAAGGACCTCATCATGCTTCCAACCCCCTCCCCTGTTTTCCAGCTAACCTCCACCATGACACTGCCCCTACCCCCATCTTGCCAGCAGTGTTCTCGCCAGAACTATAAGCTTTGGAAAGCCTTGACTAACATCTGACTCTGGCTCTGATGCTTACTGTAACAACCAGAGAAAAATTATTCATCCAAACCTCAAAGGCACTTGGTTTGAATGGCTACAAATTGGATTCTCTGCAGGGTGGGGAGTGAAACCAAAACAGTCTTTTTTTTTTTCCTAATTGAGTTTTCTTATCCTCTTTCACCACATCACCCTAATATGCCACTCTTGTGGTTGGCTGCTGGTCAAATGTAGATGCCATTATAGCTTCTCATCATTTCCTTTCTGCATAAACTCAGTGGGTGTCACAAGTCTGGAATTCATTCTGAATCTGCCCCAGATTGGCCTCTTGAATCTGATTGTGTTCTTGAAGAACTGCCTGTGGATATTTCATGTGGTTTCCTAAATCAGCTGAAAGGCCCTCAAGACGCTGGCCATGGTATCTGGTGATCTTTGCCACCTCCTCCCCACCACCAGTGTAATGGACAGCTGTGGGATATTTGTTACTCAGCATCAGCCACCCCTTCTGATGACATTGAGACATAATTATGCTTTGGAGGGAATGATTTGTTCTTAGTGTTAAATCTATATGGGGCCCCTTCCATTTCCTAGTGCATGTGGCATCTAGACTAGAGCATTTCAGAACATCC